TGTTGTGTGGCTGGGTGCTGCTAGGAAGCCTCCCGGCCAACAGAAGTATCCCTGGGGAGGCTATGGTATGGGAAGAGGGATCAGTTGTTGCAATCTCCCCCTTGTTAGGCGTCTAGGGCCACAAGGGTAAGGCTTTCCTCTTTTCCTACAAATAGCAGAATGAGTCGACGACTCCTGTCGTGCTGCACCTCACTTGCTGCTCACTCCCGCTGTACTCGTACATCGCCTCAGGCTCCCCTCCAGCACAGTGCAGGGGGACCGGGAGATGATGTGTCAGTGTAAACAGTCAGCAAAGTCCGAGACTCAGAGCTCAGGAAATTATGCCCAGATTTGGAGATGACGATGAAAAATCTGAGGCCCTGCCAGATGGCACAATGACGAGATAGAAGGTGGCACTAATGGGCCATGCGGTGGATAACGCGCCTCTGCACATAGCCGAGCACCATGACGAATAAGCGTACTCCTCACTACCTCCAAGGGAGCTGGCCTAATGCCATTCCCTCTTCTTCTGCCACACCTGCACGAATTGTGGCAATGGAGGTTGTCCGAAGCTGATAGAAAGGCCGGCTGTACCACCTTACCCACCACCCCCTCCCAGTGGCCCGTTGAGCTAACCTTTAGTGCAGTAGCCCCTAGTGCTCATGCCGTCCTCACCAAGTCAACTTTGACTGCAGCCACCCCGCGAATTCTTGCTCAACAATTGAAATTACACTGCAATCGAGCTGAGTGGTTGTGTCTCCAGTGGCCAAGGTGGATCTATTGTTGCTATCTTCCCTTTTTTTTTTTTTTTTGAGGGCGTTGCAATTGAAATTATACGGCAATCGAGCTGAGTGGTTGTGTCTCCATTGGCCAAGGTGGATCTATTGTTGCTATCTTCCCTTCTCCTAACTGGTGGTTTGTAAAGGTTTTATTTTCCATTTGTCCCTTGTATTCAGTCTCTAGACTCTCTACCAAATACATGCCCAGAAGCAGGACTTACCTCACAGGTATGTCGATAGGCTCTAGATAAAATGCTACACATCCACACTGACCGCAAAAGAAAGGCAAGACGGAAAAGCTAATCCACAGTCTCTAGCCACCCCTTCAATAGTGACAAATGCAAACGGAAATCCACTAGGATTTACTTCCCGACGCAGAATGCCAGAGACAGCTTAGGTCGTAATCACAACCCCTAGGGTTTAGGGTCTTAGCAACTTCAACTGTAAGTGGCCAAGCGAGCAACTCCAGTACTCTTCGTAAATCTGACAGCCAAGTAGCTGAGAGGAACAAGCAAGGCTGGGCTTCCACAGATAGGCAGTAATTGGCTTGCAGATGTAGCCGATGTCTGTCTAGTGATCAACTCCAGAAGTTCAGTCATGCAGGCTAACTTAGGCAGGGGTGAGGGGTGGTACATCCTTCCCTCGGAAGTAATTAATGCCGCCCACTCAGGCCTCTCAACCATAATGGGAAGGAGTGTGTGTCAGTAACTATTGTAATGCCTTCTGACTTGCCAGTGGAATAGGAACCAGACTGGTGCTCCTCAGAATGGAAAGGAACCAGAACTACGGTTCTTTTCTTTTTTTTTTTTTTTTTTTCCAATGGGGAATCGGGGATGTGTCTAGATTGGAGATTCATCTGACCTTGAGCCTATCATTCTCCATGTGCAGGGCTCTTGCCCTCTCATTGGCATCCTTCAGCTCCGCCATTGTTGCCTCCAATTTCCTTTCTGCCTCAGATATCTGTTTTCCCATCATCAATATCTCAGACATATGCGATATGTTGCCTGTTGTGGCATGTTGCTCTCCCGCTTCTTTGGTAACCTTCAACTCTCTCTCTCTGTCCGCCAGCTGTCCAACCAATCAACAAAGACTATTCTCAGCACAGATACTATGGCAGTTATCTTCATCTTTTCCTTTTTGCTCCCTGCCCACTTCTTCTTCTTCTTCTTCTTCTTCTTCTTCTTCTTCTTCCTCTTCCTCTTCTTCTTCTTCTTCTTCTTCTTCTTCTTCTTCTTCTTCTTCTTCTTCTTCCTCCTTTCTCGTTCTTCTTCCTTCTTATTCCTCGTTCTTCTTCTTCTTTGTTCTTCCTCCTTCTTCCGTCTTCTTCGTTCTTCTTCTTTCTTCTTCTTCCTTCTTCTTCCTTCTTCTTCTTCCTTCTTCTTCTTCCTTCTTCTTCTTTCTTCTTCTTCCTTCTTCTTCTCTTCTTCTTCTCTTCTTCTTTCTTCTTCTTTCTTCTTCTTTCTTCTTCTTTCTTCTTTCTTCTTCTTCCTCCTTCCTCCTTCCTCCTCCTTCCTCCTTCTTCTTCCTTCTTCTTCGTCTTCCTTCTTCTTCCTTCTTCTTCTTCCTTCTTCTTCCTTCTTCTTCTTCCTTCTTCTTCCTTCTTCTTCTTCCTTCTTCTTTAGCAGATATGGAATATTCCTAGAGTTAGCAGGTACTTCAAGCTCCGAGAAACGTAGGGCTACATGTTCATCAGGTTTATGGAAGATGGAGTTCGTGCAAGAGCATGGTAGATCGAGAAGACTTATCAGTGAGGCAAACATTATGAATGAAGTCAGCAGCAAATTTATTCTTCGGACATACTATTCTAATACGTGGACAAATAATATCCTGTAGATGTTTTTGGATAAAGGAGATGCATACGTTTTTTGGATAATTCACGGAGCTTAGATTTGGATAGAGCAGCATCGAAAGGAATACGAATCACTGGTTCAGTTCTAATATCAAATTTGGATTTATTTCTTAGGACACAGGCCAACACATCTCTAAGTTTAGATCTAACATCTTTCCTATAAAAACAACGGATGTCATTATACAGGTTCATAATATCATCGGATGATTGTTTATACAAGGCTTTGTGCGTCGATGGATCGGATAGAAGGGGTGGAAGCAACTTCTTACTTTTGGAGAATCTGAGAAGAACCGGGAAAGCTGGTCGACAAAGACGGTAGTTCCTAGGATGAACCAAGGCCTGGCATTCAAGAAAAGGCAACTACCTTGCATAGAGTGGACAACCGATGAGCCATAGGCACACTCAACTACCTTCCATTCATCACACAGCAGGTTAGTACCTGTACATTCTATCGAAAATGTCAAAATACGGTTCTCAAAGGCAAAATCAAAGATCCTACCCAAGCATGTCTAAACCTGCCCTAGAGACGCATGAAAAACCAAATGAGCCTCCTTGTCCGCCATTATCGCAAGAGGGGTTCACAACAGTATTCCTGCACTTCCTACACTTCCTGTTTCTCAATGCCACCTTTGAACTTGGTGAAGAGGAGTGAATCCTAATGCGTTTTATCCATTCCTTCAGGGCCGCAACTTCCCTTTCGGACATGTCCTTCTCGTCTTGTAGCCTTTGATATGGTTCCACAAGTTTTTCCCATTCGGCCGGTGAATGGTCTTCATCAGCTTTGCTTTCCCACGTGCAGGTTACGACCGAAGGACATTTCAGTGACAGCCTCTGCACTCCATTTACTTCCTCTTCTTTATGTCCTCGACATCGTCACGCAGAATAAGCAGGTCGTGCATAAGCACCTGATTGTCTGCCTTCAAACTCTCTATCTCCCTCTCACTTAACTGCTTCGCATAAGTTCTTCGTTCTCCAACTTCTCCCTTTTTAATCTCTCCAACTCCTCCTTTTTCCTTGTAATCTCTTCTCTTGCCACCGTGTCCTTCCTCTCTCCGTCAATTTTATAGTTCGCACCTTCGAAGCTCGTTGTTGACTGCAACTACCACCTCCTCATTGGAGCCCACCTTCGCGATGATGACTTCCTCTTATACTTCTTTCATCCTGCTTTTAACCATGCTTCCCAACAACTTTTCAAATTCTTCGAGTTCTTTCTGTTCCTTATTTTTTGCCGCCTCCATCTCTGGAACCTTCCGCTTCTCTTTTTTCTCTTCCTTCAACCTCTCCTGTTCTCCTCCCCTTGTCCTTAGCTTCCACTTCTTTTTGGAACCATCCCCACACCTTCTCGAAACGGTCATTCTTCTCTATCTCCCTATTCTCCACCCACCAGTTATTCCTTGGCCTATACTGCCTGCCGTGGCGATTGTATCCACCGTTGTTTTGACTTCCTTGGTACTGATTGCCTTCATATAGAACAATCTCGTAGCCGGCAGTAGACCATCGTTGTCTTGACGAGACGAAGATGACGCCTGATCAGATCGTCCATTCTAACTGCCTAATAAAGTGGCAGCATTTGGGATCTGCCTTAGCTGGCAGTCCCTCGTAAAATGACCAGGTTGCAAACAATGGTGGAAAACCCATGGATCCCCGATACACATGTTTCCCAGTTGAAAATAGGCACAAACAGTTCTGACAGAAGGACGAGTAACCCTAAAAGCAGACTACGGATAGGGTGCAATATAGAAAGGATGACTTGACACTGTAGTGACACGGTAATGATACTGTAGGGGAGCACAACCACTTGAGCGTAGTACACTTGCTACGACAGTTATTGTGTGTAATGATGCATATAGTCATCATTCACAGTGCAAAGCATGACACTTGAGTGCAAAACACACACACTGAACAAACGAAAAGATAAACACAGGAAGGAAAAATCCGAGCGCAGGTAGCGCGAAAGTGTCTAAGCGTGAAAGAGAATCGCACAAAGCGGGGAAACCACGTACAAGAAAGAATGACAACAGTAGTCAACAGTTGTGTGACACGGCGTGACCTCACACCGCATTTTGGTCAGTCACCAAGCCGGCCATCCTCAGGGGTGTTGACTAACCTGGCTACATATGACAGTCACAGCTACACATCCCACTTAACGTAGTCACAGAACTCGTAAATCCTGGAGCTGACATAGACTAGAAGTTCTAGAACTGCCCACTAACAGGGCTCTGAAAGACAGCTTCAATTTTACTTAGCAGACCATAGCATTCAGCTCGGGGACCGAAAAATGCCCGCACAGTGGTGGTGGTGGTGTGGTTTGTGTTGGAGGTGGTGGTGTGGTTGTCGTAGTTGTCGTCATTGTTCCTGCTGTAGTTATCATTGTTGTCGTCATTGTTCCTGCTGTAGTCGTCGTTGTCGCTGTCATTGGTGTCTTTGCCATTGCCGTTGCCACTGTTGTTGGCATTGTCATTGTTGTGTTGTTATGGTTGTTGTGATCAAGGCAGTCACGGATATGATCTGTTGTGCATGTGTGTATGAGTGCGGCATGACTTTTTAGAATGGACTCTTGCCATATGGTATGTCTCTTGTAAGCAAGTGACCTTGACTGGATGGGTGTACAAATACACCTCATAAGAAGGAAAACATCAAATTCCAAAATAAAATAGGAGTGTGTGAGTACGACGCAAAGGGGACCGCTGTGAAATGCGGATCCATTTACCTTGGAATTTGCTTCAATCAGTTGTTGTTCCACCTCACCAAGTTGAACTTGGACCTTGTCAAACTGTCAAAAGAAAAGGTCAACATCGTATCAGAGAATCGTCTTCATAAAGCCATCCTCTTCTCAGATACATAATTCTATAAGCATCCGGAGAAAAAGCACTAAGATGCATAAATTGAATTAAATTCTACAAGCATTCAGAGAGAAAAAGAACTAAGCTCTCACTTACCGAGTAAACAATCGTCCATAAATAACGGAAAGAGTGAATGGATCTGAAAGCTTTTTTTTATTAAAAAAAAAAAAAACATCCTGCGGTTTCCTGCGGCCCTGCCGTCCCGGGATGATAAGAGCACCACCGGGATTGAGAAGCTGGTGCAGATGGCTCCGGTCCATTCATGAGGAGAGGCACCTGCTGGAAAGCGGGTCCAGCGTCCCTTGTACAACACACATCAAGAAAAGTACTGGGAGCATTACCCAGCTTTGCTTTTGTATGCTCAACAGCTATACCCCTCACCCACTACTCTGACTCCACTGGTCTGGTGAGCCTAACTTGACAGATATCCTGTACATCCCACACCCTTCCTAAACCCAGTCCTTCCTGTTCTTTAAGCCCCGACCCTTGGCCCCCACTTAACCAGCACGCTTCTAGCCCCCCCTCCCCAAGAGCCCATATCAGCACCCACCCCCACTGTTCCCCGGGATACCCCAGAGAGTTGTGCGCATAACCCTTATTGACCTAGTGCTCCCCCGGCCACACTGCCGGGTTTCCGCCCTCGCAAGGACCCTGAAACGGTTTTCACCTTTGCAGTAGCAGACGTGGATCCCAAGGCTCGATCCCTAGACCTTGCCCTCACCCGTGTACAGTACCAAGTCGACCCATGTGTATTTGAACCCGTGACCTGTGTTTTGGTAGTCATCTGTTGTCTGTCGCAGGTTAGTGTGGTCGTCGGGTCTTGAGCCGTAGGTCTGTCAAGTAGGGGTCGTAACTGTGTAGAAGTCGTAGCTGCTACAGTCCTGAAAGGTCAAGGTCGTAGCTGCTACAGTCCTGAAAGGTCAAGGTCGTAGCTGCTACAGTCCTGAAAGGTCAATTCTACAGACTTCCGGAAGGTCCGGAAGTGACCTTTTGAGAATTGCTTAGGTTAGGCTAGAGGCAAGTGGGCAGTCCAACCTCGCCTAGTCAGTGGTACCCAGTCCCAGTCACACCTTGTCCAGTCAGCAAGTACCATGTGGGACTGTGCGCACCCTGGGCCCAATCGAAAGGGGGCAGACCAGCAACCAAGCGAAGTATAAATCAAGAGGCAGCGTCCAGTCATTCATTCATCCTGTGAGCCGTGCGGAAGCGCTGTCTGAGCGACTTGCGCAAAGAGGTCTGCAGGTGCCCGGGGAAGGAGAGGGCAGTGAGGGAGACGAAGCGGCCATAACGCTAGTAGCAGGGAGTAGAAGGCAGCCACAGCTACCGCAGATAGCAGTAGGCTGTAGCATACCTGTGTGAGTGAGTTGTGTGAAGAGTGTGAGCGTGTGTGGGACATCCAGGGAGATCCAGAGTAGCGTGTATGTGAGCAGTTGCTAGGAATACAGTGTCGAATGGGTGTTGTGAGGGCACACAGGCACCATAGCCATTCAAAGCGAGTTTGAATCTGAACTGTGTTCTTGTCCTCGATATCTCTGAGCTTTGTGTGGACGCCTGGCGCTCTCATGCGTGCTGAGTAAGTCAGAAGAAGAGTCTGATTCCAACCCTTTGGGAGGGCCTGCTTCCCACCCGTGTAAGGTCTCTTGGCCCTATCCTCTACCATGCTCATCAGACGGTATACTGCTCTCCATGATGTTGGATGGTCTTTTTGTTGGAAATTCTCTCTATCAAAATATAACTTCCACCTGCTTGTAATAAGGGGCAGTCTTAGACAGCTGCCAAGGGAAGCTACCGAGTTCACACAGCAGAAGGGCCTGGAGCTGTGGCTGTGTGGTGGCGAGGCAGCAGTGCACGGAAGGCCACACCAGCACTGACCTCACTTACTGTGACCTACAAGAAACATTTGATAAATGGAAATAAACATAGTAACATACATATTGCTATTTTCAATTAGATTGAGAATACAATGTAATAGAATATTGCATTTCATTATTATAAGAATAGTAATTAATAGATAGAGAATAAGGAATAAATAATAATCAATTCATAATAAAATAACTTCCATTGATTGAGAAAAAAAACTTGCAAATTAGTTATTTTGTCATCAGTAACATTTTGAATCATTATGGAATATCCTTCTCCAGTATTTCCTTAAACGCGTCTTTTTTTAGGAGGCCTACAACCATTATGAGGTATAGGAGCAACATCTCTTATAAAGCTAAGGATTACCCTACTATTTCTAATAGCACGTAATGCAGTTTCTCTTCCTGGCCCTGGTCCACTCATCATCATACCATAGTAGTAGCAGAAACTGCTAATTCTCCTGCTACATTACAATACCTTGCACCTTATACTGGAGCTTCCCTTGCAGAATATTTCATGTATAAAGGACGTCATACGTTAGTAGTTTATGATGATCTTTCCAAGCAAGCTCAAGCTTATAGGCAAATGTCGCTTTACTAAGACGTCCTCCAGGACGAGAAGCTCACCCAGGAGATGTTTTTTATTCGCACTCTCGATTATTAGAAAGAGCTGCAAAACTAAGTTCTCAGTTAAGGAGAAGGAAGTATGACTGCATTACCTATAGTTGAAACACAGGTTGGGGATGTTTCTGCATATATTCCTACTAATGTAATTTCTATAACAGATGGACAAATTTTCAAGTTGCCCTGTGCACAATGAAGGTCAGGTACATGCACAGTTCAAAACTCTTCCTCTTTTTCTTTTTTTTGGTGAAAACAGGTCTGTGTGGGCCTGGCTCCGTTCAGCTCTGGGAAGCTTCAGTCCAGTTCCTTCTTTTTTTAACAGAACCTCACGGTTCTGGCTCCTACCATTCTGGGGAGCGACAGTCCGGTTCCTATTCCCCCGGCAAGTCAATATGGAATACATCATTGACTCACACACGCTCCTCCCCATTATGGCTGAGAGGCCCGAGTAGGCAGCATTGACTACTTCCCTGAGGAAGGATGTACCACCTCTCACCCCTCCCTAATCTAGCCTGCACTAACTCTGCCTGTCAATCTATCTGATCCCAGATCTGCTCCTCTCAGCTATGAAGCTGTCAGGTATCTATGATTATACAAGAGCATTCTGGAACACTTATATGCCTTTTGAAGCCTCTAAAATTCTATAACAGCTTTTGCCTTGTTTCTGTCTAAGCCATAAACCCTAAGCCCTCGCTCTTAAGTCTATCCAAACCCTAAACCCTAAACCCTTAACTATAACTTCTTTTTCGCTTAAACATCAATCCACTGACCTCCACTTTCTCTCCCATTTCCTTTTTTTAATTTAGCCTGAGGCCCTGAGCTAATTTTTGCCTATCAAACCTTTTAATCCCAGATCTGCTCCTCTCAGCTATGAAACTGTCGCGTAAGTGTGTTATGCGGGAGCCATCTGGGATGCTTGTAGTGTTCTCTGAATTCTATCTCCTCAAAAGCCTAT